TCTTCCGCCAGAACCAGCACCAAGGACCACAACTGCTGCTGCCACAGCAGGAAAAAAGGCAGCAAAAAATCCTGCAGGATGAATTCCCGGCAGGGGCGGTCAGGTGGCAGAGGCTGGAGAAACTCCTCAAATGCGGTTCCCAGACAAGGATGGCGATGCGCGACATAAAGGCAAGCCATAAAGGCGCCACACTGATTGCACCACGGTCTGTTCAGAGAAAGCCTATTTTTATGCTGTAAATATATCCCTAGCAGTGAAAATTAGTAGCAAGCGACAGATTACAGGAGCAGCATCAGCTCCCTTCACATCTCCAGTCGCTGGCTGCCAGCGCGATGCCTTTGTGCACCAGATGAAGATTAGTTTTTCTAAATTCCTCCCTGGTTCTTTGAGCAGGCTTTTATGGGAGAAGCACACAGCTCCGGGAAACGCCCGAGCAGGCAGGACAACAAGCACCACTGGCTGAATAGGAATAGGAAGCGTTAATTCAGCACAGCCGCAGTTGCCATAGTAATAAACAAGCATTTTTCTAATCCCCCAGGCTACCTAGAGTATTAGGCAGCACTAAGGCTGCTAATAGGAATGCAATTAGGCTGACACGGATATTCCTGAATTGAAGCTGACTGAGGCTTTCTATTCATTAAAGGAAGTGGTAAAGGAGTTACAAGTTCAGCTTTTTGACTGCATACTAATGAAGATGTCATTAAAGCCAGCAAAACAGAGGCACTGCGGAGTAACAGGAGGGCAGATAACAGCACCAGGAAATCCCATAAAAGCAGGAGGTTCCATCGCCCCATCAACACCTGCCACTAATTGACAAATCTTTTCAAAGGATCAGAAAATAAACTAATTATCCTGAATATCCACCCTAAAGTCATCCTCTGGCACAAATCCACCTGCAAGGAAAACACCTTTTCCTTGGGGCACGCGCGCCACAGATCCCTGAGCATGAGGCAGGTTGCTGGCCTGACCTGCAGAGGCAGGTGTTCCCATTACCCAGGCACAAAGAAAACACGACAAATCTTTTCAAAGGATCAGAAAATAAACTAATTATCCTGAATATCCACCCTAAAGTCATCCTCTGGCACAAATCCACCTGCAAGGAAAACACCTTTTCCTTGGGGCACGCGCGCCACAGATCCCTGAGCATGAGGCAGGTTGCTGGCCTGACCTGCAGAGGCAGGTGTTCCCATTACCCAGGCACAAAGAAAACACATTTGCCCAGAAGCTTAAAACACTCCCTTCGGTTGTGGGTAAAAGCCATGGTGAGTTCTTAAAGAGAAAGCTGAAGTGAAACCGGTGTTTTCTCAGCAGAAGAATGACAAAGCATGTGAAGAGCTCAGGCCCATCTAACAGGCTGCACTGACAGGGAGAGCCGATGGAGAGGCAGGGGGCAGGTTAGTTTCCCAGAACACCAGGAGGAAATGACAGGAGAATGACAGAGGAGCGAAGCAGCACACCTAAAAAGGAACGAGCTGCCTATTCTTAGCCCTGGGTTCAGTGACACGTGGCTATCTGTATTATCTCAGCACAGAAGAATCCCTAGTGGGCTCTGTACGGAGCCACGCGGACGCTGCTCAATCGAACGGTGACACAATAACCTCTACCTGTACCCGCAGCGGCATAAAATCCTCACAGAGGTCGTCCCACAGCTCCTGCAGTTCAGAAATCTCCAGGGGAAGAGTCAAAGGAGCTCTGGAAAAGGATTTTCTGTCTGCGTTCAGGAAGGCAGAACCGGCACACGCTAAGCTGGCAGAAGTGCTGCCATCTGCCAAGTCACGGCTGAGCCTGGGAGGGGGCAAGCTGGACTTGACAGGAATAGGCAGCCTGCTGCCACGGGGGCTCTGAAGGGGTTTGTAGTCCAAAGCCTTGATCAAACTGAGGGCCAGCTCCAGCCTGTTCCCGCTCAGTGAAGAGTTTGGGGTCACGCGGTCATCTGCGAAATCGTCACATTTCCCATTCCCTTTCACCCCCTTATCTGCATCTTCGTCCTTCTGCTGCAGAGGGCTTGCCTCCACGGTCGTGTCGAGGGATTCAACAGAGGATGCAGGCGTGCCTTCCTCCATGCTCTCCCCATCCACGGGCACTCTGGCGCTGGGGGACTCTGCCGCATCGCACACAGATGACTCCTCGTTGCCCATGCTGGCTGACCACCGGCTGGACAGCCCACAGGAGATGCTTCTGGCCACCTTCCGTGGCACTTTGCAAATCGCTTCATAGTCGGCATCGGCCCCCCGCAGGGCGGCACAGCCACGGCAGCGCCGCGGGCGGTTGCTCGCTCCCTCTGAAGCGTGGCAGCTGTGCGGCTCCAAGCCGTGGTCTTCTTGATCCGTCCAGTACTCGTACCCAGAATAAGCAAAGTCCTCTTGAAGGAGGGCAGCATATCGTACATCAGGCAGGTTAGACAGGTCCACAGTCCCAAAAAAAAAAACCAGCCTCTTCGTTGTTCCTGCGGTACATGCTGGCGATGCAGAACTTGAGGCGGTCTTTCTCCAGCAGCAGCTTCTGCAGGCGCTCGATGGAGAGCGCTTCGATGCGCGCGATGACGGTGTCGAACCTGT